AGTGTTGCAGAAATAAAAACGTCTGTTTGTCTATATTTTGGCATATTTTTCCAGTTTTCTTATTCAATATATACTTTATATAATATTTTATTCCTCATTTTCATTTTTTCTACTTATAGAACAGAGTTCCAAAATTTTGAAATTAAATAAGTCCAATACTGTGAGATATTGGGGAGGGGAGGTGATCTCACTGAGAAGGGTTATGAGGTCTACGGGGTTACTCATGGTATAAAGATACCCCTCCAAGTGGGGAGAGAGTAGGTTCTGTGTCGGTGCTCTAGCTTTATTGACAACAGGTTGACTCCCCCAGTATAAAACTGCAGCGTATAACAACAAGCTCTCCACACTGAACTGAGGTATACACATCACATAGCCACTGATCATGGGTACCCCAAGCTCACCCGTAAATTGATCAACAGATCCCACTGCTACCAGTGTGCAGTCCAAGTTGACTCTTGTGGTGAAAACTGACCCAAAGATGAAGAAAGGATCCCAGTAACTTATAACCCATATCTCAAATCACTATATACCCAGATAGCCAAGAAGCACCGCATTCACATTGCATGCAGGAGATGTCCAACTGAATTTGAAATCCTTCGTAATGGAAAGGACATTCCTAATAGGGACAGACTCCCAAGAGTGTACACCATCCCAATTAGGGATCACAGATATGATAGAGACCTCATCTACATCAGCTCCACTAAGCACTCCTTGGGGGGGTTAGAATGAAAGAGCACCTTTCTGACATACAGCACGTGAGAACAATCACCACTCTCACTGTTTACGCCAGTGGTCCAGACATAGAGTTGGATTTTAACCAGACGAGGGTCATCGTCAGCATGCACAGAACATCTTGCATCTATGGATCTAGCCTTACCGACACATGTATCAACCACAATTGACTCTGTCCATAGCGTGGCATGTGCTAATGGACAATGACCTGTAAATCTTGACCGATGCTACCAGCTAGGGTGTGCATGCCCAGTAGGACGACATTAAGAAACACATATTCGAATAAACTTTCAAATTGTTGTGTTTTTATTTAGTTGCATTCAATCGGAAATTCACTGTTTTACCTGAAGAAGAACTGTTTCTGGTTTGAAAACATTTGTGAAGTACTGTTTTTTTGTTCGTTTCATTTTTATTTGAGTTTTACACCATTAACAGGCTTTGGTACACAGATGACTTCACCCCGCTGTTGTTTAGTGTAGATATTTAATAGAAACCTTATCATATGTCAGTGATATCTTTTCAGCCCTCACAGGAGAATAAATACAAAGCACTAAAAAACAGACTAATTGGCAGACAATAAGGCTTCTTATTTACTCAGACAAATGAGAATATTAGTTGGGATCAGAGACATAGGTACTGTAGAGCAGTTGGAGCAAACTGCTCCAAGCACATGAATCACAAGGGTGCCAAGTTAGAAAGGGTGAAATAAAAGCTTGTAAAAACATTTGTTTTGGATTTAATAATTAATCAATTAACTATTAGATTTGAATCCATTTGACAATTATGTATACCTTTTATGTGCTTATCACATACATATCTTGTGGCATCATCTGATAAAAATATTCCAGAAGGATCAGAATTGTTAGAATTGGCATATCCCTCTGACATCTTGCCTAGTTTTGGACCTCAGCTGCTTCAATTTAAAATGTGTTTTTATACTCAGGCAAAAGAAATTACTTCTATACATGAAGTTGCCAAACTACTTTTAATTCACACTGCAGCCTCAAGTAGCTTCTCCAACATTATTGCAGCATGCCTCATTTTTTAAAATTTTATCAGTAATGGCAGCAACAGCAGAACAAAGTTTTTCAAAACTAAAATTAATCAAAACTTATTTAAGAAGCAGCATGTCACAACACCATCTTAGCTCTGGCTACTATATCATTTGAGGAAACAATAGCTTGTCAACTTGATCTGGAGAAAGTAATTGACCAATTTGCTAACAAAAAAGCGAGAAAACAATTTTGAAGTTTTTTATGTATTATTGTATATTATGTATATGTATTTGTCACGAAACTAAACTTTTGTCAATACAGTTTATATAATACATAGTAAATATTATTAGGTACTCTGTACTTAATTACATTTTGTTTTATTATTATTTTTGTATTTATTAAATTGAAAATCTTATTGTTGAAATGCCTCAAATCTCAAATAAATTGTTATCAAGTAAGGTTTTAAATCAAAATAATTAGATATATGTTTTAAAATTTAATGTTCAAAATAAATTTTGCTAGACCTTTTCCAAGGAACAAGGGTGCACACTGACTCTACTTGCTCCAGGGTGCCGAATATGTAGTTATGCCACTGGTTGGGATCAAGCTGAATGATGACTTCCCAAAAAGTACGGCTACAACAATTACCATCTAATGTATAGAAAATTTTATTCAATTCTCAGGAAGATTTAACTCAGCTAACAATTTTGGTGAATAAGATATAAGAAATCTCCAATGAAAATACTTTAGTATACATTGCTGCAATAAAAAATGAGCATCAATATCACTATTTCATGATGACAATAACTGAACTAAAAAATGAGATTGACAAACTAGTGGAAAGACTGTCTTCGGTAAGAGCATAGTCATTCTGGTGGGTATCCATTTACAGCAAACAGAGGGAAAGACGGAATTGTGAATCAAACAAAACTCCCAACTTCTGTTATTAACACAACTGTTTTGGAAATTCCACTAGGAAATACAGTCAGTCATGCTTCTCCTCTCAAAAAATGCCACTTAACATGAATTGGGTTTCAGTAATAACAAGTTTTTGTTAGCATAGACTAATTGTTTACAACAGAACAACAAACTGTAAATATTTAATTGACACTGGGAGTGATATGCCCCTTATATCAATTTCTTTCATTGAAGCAGATTTTTTAAAAATATTTTGGGCTGTTTGGGCATCTGAAATGACAGATTCATTGATGCTGTAACAAATCTTAGCACTCAAAGGCTACCCAACCACTCCTCACAGGAAGCAGTTAAGCAGTAATAAAAAAATAGCCTCAGTTCCATTCATCACATCGACAGGTCAAGCAAGGATATCTAGACTGTAAACAGCAATTAGTGGAAGCAACTTTATTGGTTTACCACTCACCTATAACCTCAAGACTAGTGCTATTTGGTGGATGATTAGTTCTTCCTTTCTCTTCTAGTTCCTGTTTCACCTGCTAGTTCTGTTATAAAGTTGTTTGTTATTTTAGTGCTTTCCTTTTTACTTTCCCAGCTGTTATGTATAACAGTGGAAAAGTATGGCAATCAGTCAAACAATGACCCCCCAAGATTTTTACATTTTTGGGCTAGGACACCATGAAAAAAACGTTTGGGGTAATTTCTGTTTGTATGGATGTTAGCGTTTGTGTGGGGAACACAATTTTGTTCACCCTGTTTGAAGCTTAACTCCTGTGCTTTTTGTCAAAATTATCTAAAATTTTGCAGAGAGGTTTGTTTATTAGGGGATTGATGCTATTAAATTTTGGTAGTTAAAGGTTGAGGGGTGGAGAGATAATGGGGTTTGTGTGTATCTCCAGTAGGGTTGGACTTAATGACAATTTTACTTATTATTACGACTTTTACAATTTTTTATGAAATCCATTTCTACCCTCAAAATTAAATTAAGCTTTTTGCCATTTTAGAATAGTTAAAAATATAAAGATTTTTAATAAATTATGATAACAGATGGTGACTATTTTACATTTGTATTTCTTTATTTTCTCTGTAGTTAGATGCCCATTTATTGCCACTTTATCTAATGTATGAAAATTAGCTATTTAGATATGCATCATGCATAGATGTTCAAATGCTGGAAGTGCATTGTCCTGTTTTCTTACCAGGTAGAGGTAGTTCTTGGGTGAAGCTCCTTGACAGCTGTTACCTTTTTTTCCTTTTTTTGGCAGTGACTACTTTCCCCACTTAGAAGGCAATTCCCTGAAATGCCAGAGATACAATGAAGAAAATACCAATTGTGAATTAAAATTTAATGTCACGTTCAATTTGAAAAAGACAAAAATATGTGCGATAAAACCAACTAACGAAGTGTAATAATAGGCCCAAATGTACAGTACATATTGGTTTAATAAAATCTCAATGAACTTTCCTATTGAAAACTGGTATGATAAGTACTTCACTTTTGAATTTGCTATGAATTTGAAGATTAATGTAAAATATTTTTAAAAGTTCTGTCATAGGTAAAACTTTTTACTACAGAAGCATTCACCACAGTAGTCACCATAAACATAAATAATAAATGTTAGTTTCTTACTTGTTTTCAATATGTAAATCATTTTAAAGCATACTTAGTGATTGTAATTATATAGATATGTAATATAATTTTCTGATTTAAGGTATTGCATTTTAGTAGACTTTTTTGAAATTTTTAATCATTTTAAACTTGCATTACTGTTGTATACATTTATGCTTAAATTTTATTTTTAAACCATTACTTTACATCTGTGTATTAATACTTGTTTCTTAAATTAACAATAAAATAACAAGTAGTTATGAAATTAAGTTTAAATTGTTATTTTTTTCTCTTCCTTGGGCATGGATGGTCATAACATGACTGCCAGGCTGCCAATAATGACTCACAATCTTCATGATTAATACAGTTCTTTTTTAATATAGCTTTAAAAATTTATAGAATTTCAAGTTTTTGTAAGTTCTTTGTTGAAGTTCAATTTAATTAATTGTGTTTCATCAAGTTTGGCCATCACCCCCATTTCCTGGTGTATAAGGTTAAAGACATAACAGGATTATTCTTTTCAATGTTGTACAGATGCTCTTTGATTCTTTTATTGATGGATCTAGCTGTAGCGCCAATATATAGGGGAGGGTGGGGATGAAAGGGACAAAATTCATATTTTTATTTTTCACTGGAAAAGTTTACTTCTAATCAGTTTTATTTTTAGTGCAAAAGATTCATTAAACCTTTACTTTGTTCTGACCATATTGTGAATTCATCCCATTATATTGGTAGTTGAACATGTTCATATTTTTAAAGACCTCTCCAAGTGTCCCTTTCATTCCCATGTCTGGGTTGAAAGGGACACACTCGGGGATGAAAGGGACTACCTGCGTTTTAATGTAAAACTTGGAATTAGTTATCTCAATGTTTTCAAATTTTGTTGTAACTGATAAGTGATAGGCTAGAGACTAAAATTTTTAAAAATTACACTTTTAATAATATGAATTATGTGACATCACATTTATTTTAAACAGTTAAAGATTATCAATACTTTTAAAACAATTAAAGATTATCAATATTTTTAAAACAATTAAAGAATATCAAATATTTTCAAACAAAGAACAATAACTAAAGAATATCACAATTAGTAGGCTCTCACATAATTAAACTGTCTTTCTTTGGTCAATAGAATGTTTTTCGCAATCTATCCCAGCCGATATGAGGTGAAATCAATGGAAAATATAAACTGTTTGCTTGCTCTTGCCGTTCCTCCTGCTTGGGATGGATGGGGTAGCTTTAAAACTATATCTTCCATGGTGACATCACTGATATCATCCTCTTCAGGAAATATGAACTTGTAACATCCTAATATTTTTTTCATAAACTTGACTTTCAAGTCTTCATCACTCAGTTTCTTTAAAACTTTTCCCACGAAGTAAACAACAGAAGTTTTTTTTGCAAATCTGACTAAAATGAAATCATTGGGCTGAATATGTTTGACA